TGATATCATGCATGTATCTCAGAAACAATGGAAGTTGTAAATAAACCTTTGACTTGTGCTAAAAGAATGTCCTCTTGGAGTCTATTCTGATAGCGACTGGCGTCAACTAAAGCCCATTGGTTTTCTTACATTGCCACTGTTTCGTACATCATCAGAAGTTGGGATGGATGGGACAGGTGAGGGATGAATGGGACAAAACAAAAGGATACATGGGACAAGTAAATAAAGTTGTCTATACTCTATCAATAAACGGACAAGACATGAAGATTATACACGTGATCTTTAATTAGAACCACATGGAATCCACAATTGAGTTGAAAATCTTTAAAAAGTGAGGGAAATCAACAATGAACAACAAATTCTGAAATTATCCTGACAAGCGTTATCAATTAACCGGAATTTGTCTTTGATATGTGATTTGTGTCAATGATTGAACTGTAAACTTGACAGGAAATGACATGATCATCCCTTTTGTTCTGGAGGTAGTTCCCAAAAGTGAGGGATTCGGCAAGATGGTACCGTTATATCTGAATGGCTACAGCTGCAATATTCTTCACCAAGCCTTGCTTTCTTTCTGTCTTCCGATAATATGGTAGTTTTGAGGAATGATCTGGAGAAACAAATAGTCAATTTCAGTGACATAGTATATCAAAGTCTTAAATCTGAGTAAGAACAAGGATAATAACTACTGTCACCACACTGTGTCCCAAGCATCCCAACAACAAGGGGGGGGGGGGTTGTTGTTTTTTTTGTCCCATCTATCCCAACCTCAACTTGGTGAAATTCAACATGTGATTGCAAGTTCTACGATTCGCAAAAGATAGAAACGAAAACAGTACGTGCATGTTGAAATAATGACAACAAAGGAAAATAATGTCTTTGGTATTCTCTGTTTCTGCATGTAACAACACGAAGGGATTGTCTCTCAGCAAATCCAATAAAATCAGCATAAAAAATTTGGATATCCAGAAAGGAAATCGAAAGCCGAGGGCGGGAACAAATCCGAGGGCTGTAGTTCGTTCATAGAAGTATAGCACATCGGAGAACCGCACGGTTTATGAGTTACTGCAGGTGCCCCATGTATCCAACGTCCCCTAGTTGGTCTTGAAATTATCAACGAAACTCACCGCCCAGCAAACACGCATGCAGGTTGTAATCAACAAAGGAAGAACGGGCGGACAACCAGATTACATGTATATTTTATATATCTAGCTCTCCTCACTGACAAAACTGAGGGCAAACGATCCGAGGCAGAGGTAGACCCACTAAAGCAACCTGCTTGGAGAGCCTAAAACAGATGGGTGACAGTGAAAGATCAGGATAATGTAAGCCTAGCTTAGCCTTTTTTTAAAGCTCCCGAACAAAGTCAAAGATAGAGAACCATATGCACGATAATATATATATATATATATATATATATATATATATTATATATATATATATATATGTATGTGTGTGTGTGTGTGTGTGTGTGTGTGTGTGTGTGTGTGTGTGTGTGTGTGTGTGTATTTTAAAAAAATATATAATAAAATATATATAAAAGTATATATTATCTTATATATGTATATATGTATACATGTATATATCTGGCACTTGATGGCTTTTTAGTTCATTAATACTTTGTTACATACGACCTTATGCTGTTGCGAGCGCCGTAAAACACTTATTTTACCCCCAAAAAAAGAACCTTCCAGGGCTATTCCATGAACAAAATTACATGTTAGGCTAAGCCTTGTACGTTATTATAAAACATTTACGAAATCCCGGAGAAATTTAGCGGGGAAAATGCCTAACCTCCCGTGGCTATTTGGACTCAAAACTCCTATGCGCGGTATTGTGTTGTCCTGATTTTATTTGATCTAGATCTAGATTAGATTCTAGATTCTAGATTCTCTAGATCTAGATCTAGATCTAGATATGTAAAGTATGCTGTTAGAAAATATAAGCTTTTCCTTTAGACCACTGCCACTGTTACTTTGAATGACTGACTTTTTTGTTCCTTTTGGAAGCGTTTTAACTTTTTTCTGATTGTGATCTTCTTAATTTCTGAATGGACTTCCAATTGATCAATGATTTTTGTCTTTCTCGTCAAATGAAGCGGGTTTAGTCTAGACCTATTGATAGAGTGACAATCCTTTGTTGTTCTGAAACTTTTTTTCCCTGTTTTGAGCTAAGATTGCCGTTTCTCAGTTTGCCTTTGTTTTATAGTATTTCAGATTTTGCAACTGTTGTTCACTTTTGACTAGAGCTGGAGTCTGATTGATTAATCGAAGGCTTGCAAGCAGCGGACGGCTTAGGCAAGAGGCTTGCGAGCAGGCTTGTGATTTGATTTGCCTCCCGCTCGCTACCGGGGGGAACTTCCGGTGAGTTGTGACTCGCATACAGTCTTGCTGTACTGTGTCGTGACGTCGCGAACTCTTGGCTGTGGGCTCAGTACATATATTATTACAGAAGATTCTGGTTATTTGCGTTGAGGGGCTTGCCCCAAAAGAGCAAGATTGTTTTTTTTCCTCAGTCGGGTTGTTTGTAAAAAAGAAAAAGCTGTATTCAATGCACTTAAAAATTAATAACGGATCGGCTATTCTTACGCTGCCAAGGCCTTTTTTAAAAATGTGCTCAGGCCAAGCGCTTCATCGTCACCCGCAAAAGACTTTAGTTCAATTCCTGTATGGGGAGAAATTTTTTCTGAGAACCTCTGCTGGGGCATTGTTCCCTCTCAGCCTAGGTTGGCCCTGACATTGGGTTGAAGTAGGCCTAACCCTTCTCAAATGTTCTGTATTATGTCATTGGGAGTGTAAAATATCTACAAAATAGGCTACATACACACGATACAAAAGCCAATCACAACGACCCGTGGAGTTTTCCTTTTTAAGGTAATCTTAGTCTACTTTTTACTACTAGAAATCTAGCAATGTTAACATTGCTAGGTTTCTGTTACTACAATACCCTTCTTCCTCTCACTTCATTCACTCACTCAGCTGATCAACGGCGGGAAGTTAAAAATAGCTTCAAGCTCTCTATATTTTGCACCAAAGCAAGCACAGCCTCTCCCTTCCTCCACGGTTCAGAGTTCACACTGCGACGGTCTTGCTGCGAGCGAGATTTTAGACTTGATAGCCGTCCGCTGCTTGCAAGCCTTCGACTTCGACTAATCAAGCAAACTCCAGCTCTTGCGCGCAGTGACACTCAACTGTGAGTGGGGTCTCTCTCTTTTTGTAACGTAAGTGGCTCCGCGGATTGCAAGCAGGGTAGGGAGGATGAGGGGGTCTGACACCATTGGCTTCGCGGAGGATTGCTAGTTGGTGTTGACTTGAAGCTTAGGCTAGATTCAACTTATCATGCTGGTGATTTGACTTGATAATTTGACTTAGTGATTTGAGGCTTGTGACTTGAACTAGGGGCTTGCTAGCACAAGCGGGTTTGCTACCAGAGTACAGCTCTACTTTTGACGTCACTGATACTTTTCTTAATTTGTGTTGAAAATTTTGGCCAGATCGTAGAAACCGAGGAAGGCCAAAGTCAAATTGCCTGTCCGTTTCACATCCGGTACACCCATTGATTGCGCACTCGCATTGGAGTTTTGAGTCCAAATAGCCGCTTGAGCCCCTTGGCCAGCTCTATTCCCCCGAACGCTCGGGAAAATAAGCTTGAACTCTATATTTCTCCAAACGGTTTCCGTTCTCGAGATTATTTGGTT